ATCCACTTGAACCTGACGCTGCTTTTTTCGAAGTTTCTCAAGAACCATTCGAGCCACATAATTCGTTTTGGCATCGTTGGATAGAGAATTGAAAATTCGATTCAGTCGTAACAACGTGAGTGGGGAAATTCGAGTAGTTTTGATACAGAAAGGGAAATTTAAACAGACACTTCGGTGCAAGATTATGTCAAAGTTTCATGTTTTCCGTCCCATTTTTCTTCAGACTTCCGGGCAACAACACAGAACATCCGTGGCGTTGCCAGGGGAGATGGATTTTTATTGATTTGATCACAATCTGACACTGTCACACTGTGACAAACTAGTCCAAAATATGTCAAAATTTTCGAAGTAGACCATTTGAATGCACAAAATGTTTTCCCGATTCCTCAGCGCAATTGGAGACTGGTTTGGAGACGAAAAACCGCCTGCCGATCTTGGCGATCCGCTCGACTTTGAATCGGGGCCGTTTCTGGATTACGCCATCTCGTGGGTTTATGTAAGCAGATCGGGCTTTGCAACACTAAACTGCGCTCTGAAAACGTTCAATTTGCCATTTTCAGATATTTAAACGGCTGCTTATTCCCAGAGAGTACCGGATGAAGGTGGGGAATGTTCGCTGCGTGTCGGTTTGTGACAGCAAAAAACGCAAAACATGTAAAACATAACACATAATTTTAATAAAGTAGTTATGGACTAAGAGCTCAATAGCAACATCTCTATTTTTAGGATTTGTATGGGGAAAGCATCAGGGTCCTTTTCTCCTTATAGGGTGTCTGTAAAAGTCCTGACTTAGCAAGTCATTTCCACATTCTGAACAACGTTGGCATGATCGACTTTCGATGGCACCAAGTAGAAGGCAGGCACCACTCGTGCCCCACATGGGCATTGTGAACCCATCACCCAACTAAACGAGCCCACTTTGTGCTCGCACTTCGGGCACTGCAGTTTCCCTTGCACATTCTGAGGTAAAAGATGCGTTAAATAACGTTGATCAATCCAATGGGTAGTAGATAAGTTCTATATTGTTGAGGCGGATTCATTTTTTTACAAACTTCTTTTTGGGTATTTTGACTCAAAAATTTTCGTCTTAAAAAAAGACAGAATTTCCTCACCTCAAAAATTTTGGATGCGAAATACCCAAAAAGAAGTTTGTAAAAAATCCAATGAGTTTCAAATGGTGAATGAAATAGCCGAAATGTTTTTATAAGCGATCGGTCTCGGCCAGGCAGCCGGTTTGTTTACGTTTTTTCTCTGATAACAGCACAATGAAACATTCCTGCACAGCCCAGTCACTATAATCATTACCTTACGCATACTAGGTGGGTTTTTCCGTAAATTAAACTAAAGAAACTCCATTCTGGACTTATTGATCCCACATGGTGAATGAAGTTCTATTAAGTATTAACTCCATTGTTCTCATTACCCAGAAATTCGATTAATTTGTTTAAAGAGAAGCTCACCTGGGCTACATTCATCCACGCTATCGGTTCGATAAAAAGCGTTTTGGTGCATGGTTTTCGGTCGTGGTGATGCTCAATCAGGTTGCTTGCGGATGCCAGAACTCTGCGGCACTTTCTGCACCTGAAATCAACCTGAAAGTGCATCAAACCGTTGGGAGCGTTTCGGGTGTATGAACTACCTGAAAACATTCGGATCAGGTTTGGATTGGGTGACACCGGGATCAGGTTGGATCAGAAAATGGAAATTCCGCGGCAGTATTCCGGCCACTCGCACTTGGGATCCAGCCAAATTGAGTTGGAACAATTTGTACTTCATGTTGTTGCGATTTATTGTCCATTCCATGTCTTTGTACAGCTTCAACTGCGCTACAAACCCTGTAAAATTACAGGCATTGTTCGGTGCAACTATTGCGAACCGGAAGATCAATCTTCCATAAATTTTCTGGCCACTTACCATCGTTTGGATGGACAACCTTCCTCTTTGCCTTCACCATCTGCAAGGCCTCAGAGTAAGACAATCTGTACTTCTTCATAACATAGGCAATAACCACGGTGGCACTTCTCGACATTCCAAAGTAGCAATGCACCAATACCGATCCGTGCTTCAAGCCTACAATAGCAAAACCCAAAACGTGAGCGAGTTATGAAAAAAGCAAAAACTACCCCAGAAACTAACCGGTCTCAATAAACTCAATGGCACTATCAAAGTGGCTCAGTAGGTCTTCCTTGGGTTGATCACTCAGTTTAATGAATTCGGTCTTGATGTGTGGCAGCTCTACAATATTTCTGGGCAGAACGCAGGTATCGATTGTAAGGATGTGAGACACTTTCAACTTGTTCAGGGTGTCGATGTCTTTGGCGGCTGAAAGACTGCCCAGATAGAGGCCGGGCTCTATTTGGTCATAGCTTACGGTGCAGAAGGCATTTGAGTCGTGCAGTCTTTGCATAATTGAAGACATCTCTTCTCTGATTAGTCAATTTGCTGCAAGATTTAAAGAGCGGCGCTTGGGGTTAAAGTATTGAGCCCCTATTTGACTTATCTACCGTAAATAGACTTAAATTTACACCTCTGAGGTTGGGTTTTCTGAGAATGAGACAATATCTAATCAGTTAATTAATATATTGTTAAGTCGTTGATAATATTATTTCTAGTATTTTTGCAATACACTAATGTTTATGTTTACATAGTTACATCAACAAACACGACATGTCAAGATGACTACCTACCAGGGTGGCCAACCTCCGAAACGCGTATTACCATAAAAGCCATTTGAAAATACCGTATTTGAAGCTCAATTATCGTATCAGAAATTGATTCATCAGCTCACGTCCCAGTGATAAAAAAATACCAAAATTGTTGTACCGTAACGTGTTAGAGAGCTACACCGAATTGTTGGCGTTAATTACCGTACGAATGGCCACCTTGCTATCCACCACGCATTACTGGTAAATTTTCTCCCAACTTTCGAACAAAGAAAAGGGTAAGCAAAGCAGTATTTTTATTTATCCATGCAAACATTAACAACAGGACAAAAGATCAATTTAAAAATCGCAGATACCGTGAGCGATTATTCCATTGGCAACACCTGCCCGGCATCGAATATTCGTATACCGGGGCTGTGCAAAACTAGTGGCTAATTTGCCTAATCCAAAAGTACTAATCAAAATTTCAAAAACGAGTTAAACCCCGAAGGAAATAAGTTTAGAGTTTGCTAACTAATAGACTCGAAAGTCGCCCTACTTTGACGGCTCTGTTTAGGCGACTTTCATTGTTCTTCACTAAATGGTTTGAAAAAACACCAAAATCGGTTTTATGTTTTATTGATTTCAAAACACAGATATGTTGCTCCCAAATTCTGGAAATTGAGAGGAACCCATCTTTTAGGCGACAATCAACAAAGACTTAATGCGTTTTGGATGCCAGCCGCTTGTCTCGCTCTTCGGCAATGGATAGTTTCACTCCCTTTCCTCGGGGCAGGGAGACAAAGGCCTTGCTTCCTTTGCCGATTATAAAAACGTTGTTTAACCTGACAAAAAAAAATTGGTTACTCAATTACAAAAACTCATATAAATACCGATGTTACGTGTTGTCGCAAGAGGGCCCGTATCTTGACTCATTTTATTCAACTACATATAAAAGCTGAACTTCCACTGAACTATTCCAAATCAAATCATTCCTGGGTTTCAGTCATTTATTGTCTCTATTTATCAATCAAAATACGTTTCGGTGTATTTTTCCACCATCATCAGTTTTTATGTGTAGCGT